GCTTTTCCCAGTTATCACATTTCATTAGACACAAGAGGACACACTCAGGGGAGAAGCCTTATGTTTGTAAAGAATGTGGACAAGGCTTTTCCCAGGTATCACATTTCATTACACACCAGAGGACACACTCGGGTGAGAAGCCTTTTGTTTGCAAAGAGTGTGGGCATGCCTTTACCCAGAAGATAAATCTCATTGGACACCAAAGAACACACTCTGGGGAGAAGCCTTTTGTTTGCAAAGAGTGTGGACATGCCTTTACCCGGAAGTCACATCTCATTGGACACCGTAGGACGCACTCAGGGGAGAAGCCTTATGAATGCAAGGAGTGTGGGCGAAGCTTTTCCAGCAAGTCAAATCTTAATGCACACCAGAGGACTCATTCAGGGGAGAAGCCTTATGTTTGCAAGGAGTGTGGACGAGGCTTTTCCAGCAAGTCAAATCTGAACACACACCAGAGGACACACTCTGGGGAGAAGCCTCATGTTTGCAAGGAGTGTGGGCGAGGCTTTTCCAGCAAATCAAATCTGAACACACACCAGAGGACACACTCTGGGGGGAAGTCTTATGTTTGCAATGACTGTGGGCAACGCTTCAGTCACTTACTCAGTTTCATCACACACCAGACGAGTCACAAAAGGGAGAAGGCTTAATTTTGAAGAAGTTTGGGTGAAGCGCTATCCAGGTGTCAGATTTCATTGTGCACCAGAGCACACACTCAGGAGAGAAACCTTGTGTTTGCAAAGAGTGTGGGAGAGGCCCTGTTAGGAAATTATATCTTACTGTATACCAGAGGACTCACTCAAAGGAGAAGACTTAAGTTTGTGAAAAAGATAGGCATGCCTTTATCTGGATGTCACGTCTCATCAGATACCTAAGGACACTTTGATGAGAGAATCCTTATGTCTGCAAGGAGGGTGGACAAAACTTTACCAGTAAGTCAAATCTTACCACTCACCAGACGATACACTCAGGGAAGGAGCCTTGTGTTTTCAAGAAGTGTAGAAAACATTTAACATACTAATGAGATTTCCTCATACATGAGTGGAGACAATGGGAGAGAATCTTTGTTAGCATTGAGTGTGGGCAAAACTTTTCTGGAAAGTAGGATCTTGGTGTTCATCAGAGGATCCACTCAGGAGAACCCTTATTTATGTAAGGAGTGTGGGCAATGCTTTATAATTTTATTAAGTCTTCCTCAGATACTGGAGGACACACTTCCAACCTTATGTTTGTTTGGATTGTGTGTAACACTTTACCAGGATCTCATGGTATGTCAGAACTCATGACATGCATAGGATGCACTCAGAATTCTGATGTTTATTAGTTGTGTGGGTGAAGCTTTACAAAATCTGAAATGTCACCATATACCAGAAGAAACACTCAAGGTCAAGCCTTATATTTGCAAGGAATGTGCTTGAGTCCTCACCCAGAAGTCAGATCTCCTCACACACCAAGCACACACCCAGATCTGGAAACCTTTTGTGTACCTGGAATATGTGGGAGTGACTGTAAAGACCATGGCCTGTATCAGGAGCACCTTAGTCTTTGAATGGACATCATTGCTCCTTGGTAATCTGGAGAGGTCCAGACCAGAAGACTTTTTCCAAAGCAATACCTCTTTTGATTGCCTGACTGCTAGTACTGTGGGGTTGATTATGGATCCAAGTAAGATAAAATCATGGGCAGTTAGTCATGATGTTTATTATAGATTCCACTGGTTAAGATTTTTGGATTTTTGATGTGGAGATATAATTGAAGACTGTACTTTTTGGTGTTCTGTGGCAAGCACTTCAAGTTCTCATGACTGATCCTTACTCTCGAATACAGCATAAAGAGAAATTAGCTCTTCAAGGTGGAAATCAAAATTATCTTTTCACAACAAGGAACTCATGTGTTTGGTTCATTTCATTTGATACTAAAGAGAAATTTTTATGAATTAATCCATGAAAATGTAACCAGATAAAAAGTTTGATAATACCAAGTTCTCTCGTTTTTAAAACTCACAAAATTGCCTTTTGTATGAGTCTTTAAGTAGATACAAGTTTTTCCAAATACCCAAGTGTGTATATGTATGATTCACATATTATTCTCATGTATTGACTATCAAATAATTAAATACTTAAGAAGTTAGAAAAATATCTTTTTGATGGTTTTGCACTTTATCCACCTAATCTGGCAGTAGTTATTGCCAGGTTCCATTGATCAGAGGCTGTCTGTCATAAGAAAAGGAAGAGCCCAGGTAGACCGAGTTACAGCTGCTCTAATAGAAACTTTCTCTCTTCAGCAGAATCAAAGCCAAAAGTCTACTCGTGTTCCCCTTGCCTTCTGGCTTTGTGCTGCCAGCAGTTCCTCAGCCAACATGTGCTGCAGATCTTCCCAGAGTTATGTGTAGAACATCATGTCCACCCAGCAGGGTCCAGCCCAGGGCCTCAGAAGCAGCAGGAGCAGCAGGATTTTCATGAGACCTGCTGGAGTGAAAGCACAAAAGGTCAGGAGGGAGAAAAAGTCTCCAGACTGTTGTGTGGAAGGGCAGGGGAAAGAGAGATGTCATGGGAATGTGCATTAGATGCCTACTGCATTGCCAGCCCACCCCAAAGAGAGTCAGCAAACCTTGGAGAAGGCATGAGAGGGCAAGAGCCCAGCTCAGCTCAAAGGGTGAACTCTGTGGAAACAGAGCAACGATGGAAGGAATTAGAAACCTCAAGATTTGGATCGGTTAAGAATTATGAGGAAGCCCTAGACTGTGGCCTGGAATTAAACTTCACTGCAATACAGTTGTCCTTCTTCCGAGAGGGCCATTTTCTTCCCAGTGTGTGTCAGGAACACTTTACTCAGTTTCCCAATCTCATCACTCACCATGGGAGACATTCAGTAGAGAAGCCTTTCATTTGTGGAGTGTCTATCCAAGGCTTTCCCAGGATGGAAACACACATCACACAGCAGTGTGAAGGGGTGAAGCCTTATGTTTGCAAGGAGTGTGGGCGAGGCTTTACCCAGTTATCAAATCTTGTCAGACACCAGAGAATACACTCAGGGGAGAAGCCTTTTGTTTGCAAAGAGTGTGCGCATGCTTTCACCCAGAAGTCGCATCTCATCAAACACCAGAGGAAACACTCCGGAGAGAAGCCTCATGTTTGCAAGGACTGTGGGTGTAGATTTTCTAAAAAGTCGAATCTCCTCAGACACCAGAGGACACACTCCGGGGAGAAGCCTTATGTTTGCAAAGAGTGTGGGTATGCTTTCACCCAGAAGTCACACCTCATCTGTCACCAGAGGATACACTCAGGAGAGAAACCTTATATTTGCAAAGAATGTGGGCCAGGCTTTTCCAAAATATCAAATCTCATCAGACACCAGAGGACACACACTGGGGAGAAGCCTTATGTTTGCAAGGAGTGTGGGCATGCCTTTACCCAGAAGTCACATCTCGTCAAACACCAAGGGACACACTCAGGGGAGAAGCCTTACGTTTGCAAAGATTGTGAGAAAAACTTTACCAGTAAGTCAAGTCTCATCAGACACCAGAGGATTCACTTAGGTTAGAAGCCCTCAATTTGCAAGAAATTCTTTCTCGGCTTTCCCCAGAAGTCAAATTTCATCACACATCAGAGCACACACCCAGATTTAGAACTTTCTGTGAGTCTGGCGTACGTAAGAGGCTTTACCCAGAAGAACTGTAAGATTTTAAAATATATTCTGTATGCAATTCCTTCATTTGATAGGTGATTTTCAAATGGTTTGTCTCAATGTGTAGATTGCTTTTTCACTGTCTAGATAGTGCAAAAACACACAAGCGTTTATTTAATAAAATCTTAATTTCTATATTTAGTCATTTGTTTCTTTCTTTTTTTTTAATTTTTGTGTGCGTGTACCATCAAATCAGATCTGACTGGTACAGGAGGAAATTGTCCCTCCTTCCCCAGCAGAACATCTGGTGGATTTGAACCGTGCGCCTCTGGGATTGTAGTTGCAGCTCCTTGCCACTAGGCCACCAGAGCTCCCCTAGTCATTTGTTTCTTATCAGTGTTTCTGAAAATTCATTGCCTAACCAGGGTCACTGAGATTTCACTGAATTTGACTTCTAAGAGCTTTACACTGTCGTGTGTGCCGTTGAGTCAGAACTGACCCAGACCTGACCCTCCAGTGGGTTTTCAGAGACAGTAGGTCTGTCTTAGGGTGAAACCAAGTTTCTCCTTGGAGGCTAGGATTTTGAAGGTCCATCTCACATACTTTGGGCACGTGGCTAGGAGAGAATGGTCCTTAGAGAAGGACATCATGCTCAAAAGGTGAAGGGACAGCACAGGAGAGGAAGACCCAGGATGAGATGGATTGATACAGTGACTGGGCCAATGGGGCTAAGTGTCAGAGTCATTGAGACTGGCTTACAACAGGGCAGGCTTCAGAGCTGCTGTACATAGTAGGGTCGCAGGCAACTCTATATAACAACAAAGTCACACCAGAAGGACCTCGGGTGGCCTAGTGGTGGTAAGGAGCTGTAGTGCAACCCCAGAGACACTTGTTTCAAATCTGCCACATAAGAAGGATGGACAAACTCCTTCAGGCACAGCCACCAGATCTCCCTTGCATTTGCAAGGTTTGTAATTAATTTTTTTTTTATTTTTATTGTATTATTTTTACATGTACCGTCAAATCAGATCTGACTGGTACAGGAGGAGGTTGTCACCTTCTCCAGCAGAGCATCTGGTGGATTTGAACCACGTACTTCTGGGATTGCAGTGCAGCATCTTGCCACTAGGCCACCAGAGCTCCCTTAAGGTTTGTAATTAATTTTGAATTCGCATTTTGTTTTATGATGTGAGGTGTTCAGCTTGCCTCTTAATCACAAGCATGATGACAAACAGGATGTGATAAGAAGGCTATGTTGTTACATGCCGTTGAGTCACTTGCAGCTCATAGCAACCCTATATGTACAACAGCCCTAAACACTGCTCTGTCCTGTGCCAATCACACAGTCTCTGATCCACTCACCCTGATTACCCAGTCCCTGAATGAATCCATCTCATCAAGGGTCTTCCCCTCATGCACTGTCCCTCCACCCAAGCATGACGTCCCTCTCCAAGGACTGGTCCCTCCTTGCAACATGACCAAAGTATGTCAGACGAAGCCTCAGAATCCTTGCCTCCAAGGAGCAGCCTGGTTTAACCCTCTTGAGGGTGAACCTGTTTGTTTTCTTAGCAGTCCACAGTATATTCAGTACTCTTCTCGAGCACCACAGCTCTAAGGCATCTATTATTATTCTATCCTCCCTAGTCATTATCCAGCTCTCTGATGCATAACAAGTGATTGCAAAGATCATGGCCTGTATCAGACGCACTTTAGTCTCCAGAGTGACACCACTGTACTTTGGAGAAGTCCCTAACAGCAGACTTTCCCATTGCAATAAGTCTTTTAATTTCCTGGCTGTTGGTGCCAGGAGTGTTGACTATGGAGCCTATAGTAGGCTACAGCACACCTAAAGGAGGCCCAGTAGGCATTGTGCCTCATTTTCATTTTGGGGGGGGGCAGATGCAGTATCTTATTTGTAGATGGAGTTTCTTGATGTGCCCCGCATTACTACCCCAAGAAATTTCACTGAGATACTGACTTTTTGTTGGTTGTGATTATTTCCCACTCTTGGCCTTCAAATAGGGAGTTCCGGTAACCTATTGAATAAGAGTGGTGGAGGCTATCTGAAAGCCAGGCAGTGGGAATCTAACAGCTGCTCTTCTGGAGAAAGACGGGCAGTCTCCTGTGTGGTTTACAGCCTCTGAAAGTCTACTGGAGGGTCAGTCCATTCCAACTCGACAATGAGAGTGAGTCTTGTCAGCCTAAGGTCATGAGCATAATGGAATAGAATGGTATCACATGGAGAGCCATCAAGGGCTCTGTTAACTTGAGTTCTAACACAGAGCTGGCAAGTAGAAGCACCTCGGAGGCAGTAGAATAACGCAAGCACATCTTTGCTCTTGCCAGCTAACAGCGGGTGACGTGAGATGGTCCTCCAAAATTGAGATTTGCTGAAGCGAAGAAAGGACAGCTAGAGCAGCAGTTAAAAATTGGAACCACCATCTGATTAGGTTTAGAATAATCAACTCTTAATCCAAGATCCATGTGTTTTCTGGAGAGTTGTTGAAAGGGAATGCCGTGGGAATCACCACCTCTGCATCCTTCAAGGGCTTGATGCTGGCGCTGGTCTGCAGTACCACCAGTAATTCAGTAATTAGATTTAGTATTTGCATAGGTAGAGTTAATGCCTTCTACTTGGCTTTTCCTATCAAACTGCCCTTAGTCCTCATTTCAGGAATCTAGTGTGACAGTTCTGTGAACTGTTAAAAGTCCATCCCTAACCTGGCATGCCCCATCTCTGGCCACTAGAACAAGGTCAAGTTTGGATATCCTATGTTGTTGTTGTTGTTGCCATCAAGTCAAGTACAACTCATAGTGACCCTATGAACAAAAGATCTGAACCTAGGCTTGTCCTGCACCATTCTCACACTTCCTGACACAAGAGCCCATTGCAGCAGTCACCTTTGCAATCCACCTGGCTGAGGGTCTTCCTCTCCTTTGCTGACCCTTCTCCCTTCCCAAACATGTCCCTCTCCAAGAAATAGCACCGCCTAGCAATATGTTCAAACTATGTGAGATGAAGCCTCATCATTCTTGCCTCCAAAGAACTCTGGCTGCACCCTCTCTATGACATATCTGTTCGTTCTCTTGGCCGTCCATGGGATGTTCAGGGCTCTTCTCCAACACCATAACTCAAAGGCATCAATTCTTTTTCTGCCATCCTTATCACTGTCCAGCCCTTGGATGCATAGCTAGTAATTGGAAA